ATTGTTGGAGAGCGGCAGTCAAAAGGCTTTTGACAAGACAGCGCGAAGCTATTGTTTTTGTTTGTAATATACCGTGCAACTCTCCTAAAAGCTGACGCGGCAATTATCATAAAAGATAACTGCACGTATAACGTGTTGATAGTTCTGCTTTGACCTTAAGTAATTAATTAATTATTAATTATATAATTATATATTATATGAATTATTGACAATATTTGGTTTTAACGTTAGTTTGTCTCTATAAGTAGCGAGTGGATGTGCTGTGTTTAAATTAGTGAATCAGATATATATCAGTATAATATTTTTGCATTTTTACTAGTTCAGTTTTTATGTTTAAAAAGTAGATCAGGTAAGAGAATTATTGTTTTTTACAGCAATTTTAGTTACTTATTATCATTGAAAAGGATTATGTTGTGACAATAAGAACTCAAATTAAAAAGTAGCATTTGTATGAACTGGGTATATATCTGGTGCGGAATGTGTGCCTGTGTGCAGAAACAGCCTTAGGGGGTGGCGAGCAGGGATATCGCCCGTGGCCTCGCTCTTGCAGGGGCCTCGTGCAACAACCCAAGTAGAAAAAAGTTGATATTTAAAACTTTTTATTTTATCCTTAGTTAGTCAATAGTTAATCATTTCTCAGTAGTACAAACACATATGTACGAATGTACGTTTACAATTCTGTTAATACATAAAAACATTTGTAGAATGTTTATTTTAAAAACATTCTAAAAAGAGGAAGATCATTTAATAAACATAGCGATTTCATTTATAATGCATTGGAATTTAGCTAATGTCTTATCAGATTTGTTTTGTTGTGCAACAAGGAGAAGTAAATAAATAAATGCAGATTATAATGAAAAGTATTTTTATAAAATTAATCTTTTCATCAGTGTCAAAATCAAATTGAATGTAGTGCGAATTTTACATGTGCAATTTAGTGAAAATTTAAGCAATAATATTTCCAGAAAAAAACTGTTTATTCTGCTCTCGGGTTTACCGCTACTTCACACAATTTCTCTGCTTCTCTAGCTTCCCGCGTTTTCTCTCCCAGGATTTATGACCCTTCTGCCACCATGTGTGGGTAGGGAGCATCTGTTCCGACGAAACCAAAATAGAGGAAGGGCGAGAAGGTCCGATATCATTACAGAGTTGAAGATTATTGCATACTTCTAACCTTTCTATTATATTATATTATTTCATTTAAATTTACTACAATTATCTTACGTAGGAGTTTATCCCAATCTAATAAGTAAATAATTAAATATGTTTATAAATATTATTCACTTTCAAAAAGTTCAATAATTTGTCAAGATTTGGCCTCTGGCCCAAAATCTCTCTCAGACTTGCATTTCCAAAATGCTGTCTATGACTTTGATCAAAAGCTGTGCAGTTGCAAAGCATGTGTTTTACACTTAGAAAGCAGTTGCAATACTCGCATACTGGCTGGTCTTCACCCTTCAAAAGGTATTGATGAGTCAACCGAGTATGCCCAATTCTCAAACGAGTAAGAATTACTTCAGATCTCCTGTCATACTGTTTATTGTGTGTCCAATTTTCTATATTTGGCTTGATCTCATGTAGTTTATTGTGGACTTGTGCATTCCACACGTTTTGCCATTTCTCTGCTAGTCGTTTTTTAACTACTAGCTTCAAATCATCTCCTTCAATACGCATTATATGCTGTAAAGGAGTAGCTGACTTTGCAGCTGCGTCAGCTTCTTCATTCCCTTTTATACCTACATGGCCTGGGACCCAACAAAATTTTACAAAGAAATTACTCGCAGTAAGATGGCAAAAGAGCTTACGAATTTTAATCACTATAGAGTGAGAACTAGGTTCACATGAAATCAAAGCCTGAAGTGCACTAACTGAGTCAGTGTAAATAACACAGGAACGATGACCTTTCCTATTTATATACTTTAAAGCTAAATAAATAGCATGCAACTCTGCAGAAAAGATGGAAGAATTCAATGCAATTTGTTCTGCCACGATTTCATCCTGGCAGACGAAAGCTGAGCCAACGTAATCATCAGATTTAGATCCATCTGTATAAATAGGAATTAAATTCCTGTCACGATGCTGAATTTCTGCAAATTGCTGTCTGTAGACATAGTCTGGTGTGGATTCCTTAGGAAATTGCTTTAAGCTAAGGTCAACACTTATCAAAAAAGTTGACCAAGGTGATATACTACAGATCTCTAGCTGTGAAATGTTGCCTGTGTTTAGATCAATTGCCTGCTCACATTCTCCATTCTTATGGCGAATGAAGGGACACTGCTTGGGCGAGCTTCAAATAACCTTTTCAGCTGAGTATCTAATACTGTACAATCAACTGAAGGTTTAGTGTGAGATTTCTGTTTTATATAGTAAAATAGAGACAACTGTTCTCTTCTGAGAGATAGTGGAGGCTCATAAGCATCCACATACAAACTTTGGACAGGAGAAGTTCGAAAAGCACCAGTGCACAAACAGTGCTTGATGATGAATTGGATCCAGCATCCGAAGAGTAGATTCTTGCGCAGAGCCATAAACAATGCTACCGTAATCCAGCTTTGAGCGGACAAAGGCCCTATAAAGCCTGAGCATAGAACATTTGTCTGATCCCCAGGATGAACAGCACAGTACCTTTAAAAGGTTTAAAGATTTTAGATATCTACTCTTCAAATTGCACAAGTGTAGTACAAACGTGAGTTTAGGATCAAATATAACTCCCAAAAACTTTGTCTCATTGACCATTGAAATTTTAACCCCATTTAAATGAATTTCATGGTCCAGGTGCAAACCACACCTTCGGCAAAAGTGGATGCACGAGGTCTTCTCCGTGTTAAAACTAAAACCATTGGTCTTGGACCAATAATCTATGCAATTTAAAGACGTTTGCAGTTGTCTCTCAATAAAACTCATGTTCCTAGACTGGCAAGAGATCTGAAAGTCATCCACATACAAAAAGTGTTTCACACTAGGAGGAAGACAGTTAGCGATGCTATTAATTTTAATTAGGAACAGAGTCACACTCAAAATACATCCTTGAGGAACACCTTCTTCTTAGACGAAGGACCTAGATAGTGTGTTGCCCATCCTAACTTGGAATCTTCGATTCTGCAGAAAGTTTTTTTTATAAAAACTGGCAAATTACCCCGCAATCCAAATTCATGCAAATCACGAAGTATTCCGTAACGCCAGCAGCAATCATAGGCCTTCTCCATATCAAATAATACAGACACTAAGTGCTGTCGTCGAACAAACGCTTCGCGTATGGATGTTTCAAGATTTACTAAATTATCCGTGGTACTTCTGTTCCTAAGAAATCCACTCTGATGTGGTGAAAAAATAATTCTTTTCCTCTAGGAGGAACATCAGGTATCTGTTTACCATTCTCTCGAAGAGTTTACACAGGCAACTTGTCAGAGTGATTAGTCTGTAATTACAGGGATTCTTGTGGTTTTTACCTGGCTTGAGAATGGGAATAATGATAGATAGCCTCCAAGAGTCAGGAAAAGTATGTTCTGTCCATATTCTGTTAAACAGATGCAGGAGATTAGAAAGGGAATTGTTCGAAAGATTTTTAATCATGCTGTAGTGAATTTTATCCGGGCCTACAGCAGTATTCCCCAAGGAAGAGATCGCTGTACATAGTTCTATGCTGGTGAATGGCACATTATATTCCTCATTAGATGAAAAATGGAAATTTAAACACTGTTTTTCTCTTTGGGCTTTATAAACCTGAAAATTCCTTGAATGCATAATATTGCTGATGAAGCAGAAAATGTTTCACATAATAAGTCAGCAATACCCTGCATATTGCTGATTATTGTGCCATTATTTTCCAGCATAGACAGAGAGTGAGAAGCATATTTCCCACTAATTTTGTGGATTTTATCCCAGACTGCTTTTGAGCTAGTGGAAGATGTTATGCTAGATACATTCTTCCTTCAAGAATCCCTTTGGCTTTGCCTTCTTATTTTTCTGGCATTTGCCTTCGCTTTTTGAAAAGCTATCAAATTTCTAGTAGTGGGGTATCTTCTTAAAATTCCCCATGCTTTCTTTTGTGCTTTAAATGCTACCTCGCAATTCTGGTCCCACCATAGTTTCAGATGCTTTGGGTATCTAGTTGATGTCTTTTCCATTGTTTTTTCGGCTGCCTGAATAATACTGGAAGTGACAACTTCAACTGCATCATTGATATCAGCAGTGTTGACCATTTCCTCAGTAATGTCAGCTAAAGAGGAGAATGCAGGCCAATCTGCCGTTTCAAGTTTCCAGCGTGGTAGACGGGCTGTTTCACAGCTTTCTCTGCCTTGATATTTTAGAAATATTGGGATGTGGTTGCTAGAGAGTGGATTAGATCCAACCTTCCATGTAAATGCTAAAAACAGGTTTGGGCTTGCTAAGGATAGATCAATGGCAGTGAACGTTCTTGATGGGGCATGGTAGTATGTCACTTCTCCAGTATTAAATAGCTACAGTTGCTGATTACCTATAAATCTCTCAATGGCCCTGCCTCGACAGTTAATGTCAGGACTGCCCCACATAGGATTGTGGCCATTAAAATCTCCAAGTAAAAGTAATGGTGTTGGCAGCTGTTCAACCAAGGCATCCAATTCATTCTCATTGACTCTGACATCTGGTGGCAAGTATATAGAACAAACTGTGACAGTTACTCCAATAGAAATTCTGACTGCCACAGCTTGCAAATCAGTGGCTACTTGTACCAGTAAGGATGAAATGCGATTTGAAACCAGAATAGCCACACCGCCACTGGCACGAACGTGGCTATCATCATCCTTGCAATAGAGATCAAATCCTTTAAAAAAAATATTTTCTCCAGGTTTTAGATGTGTTTCCTGGAGTGCCACACAGAGAGATGAAGTAGATGATGTCANAATTCTGACTGCCACAGCTTGCAAATCAGTGGCTACTTGTACCAGTAAGGATGATATGCGATTTGAAACCAGAATAGCCACACCGCCACTGGCACGAACGTGGCTATCATCATCCTTGCAATAGAGATCAAATCCTTTAAAAAAAATATTTTCTCCAGGTTTTAGATGTGTTTCCTGGAGTGCCACACAGAGAGATGAAGTAGATGATGTCATGTGTTTAATGTCAGAGAAGTTGTTGCGGAAACCACGACAGTTCCATTAGATTATTTTGTAATCCATTATGTCTTTGAAGCAGCATTTTTCATGAGGGTATCCCTCTTTATTTTCACAGGGGGTTTATCTTTTGGCGGTGACATTGGTTTTTTCACCTCCATGTTAGGCTCTTCATCAGAGATATCAGAGAACTCACTCACGGACTGAGTCTCTGATCTTTTAGCTTTAGAGAGGGTTGCTTTTAATTTTTGTTTGTTAAGTGGGTTCTTATTTGCTTTCTTAGAACCCATATTTCTGGTTACTACCCCTGTTTTATGTAGGGGTGTCTTTGTCTTGATACTCTCATTTTCTTCAGTTTGTTTTGATTGGGTCAGCAAACATTTTGCGTGTCGAGTGAGAGATTCTTTTGGGGAGACAGAAATATCTGTTTGAACCCCACATGTCTTAGTAGATTTCAACACAGCAGCAAAGGTCTTTTGTTTCGTTGTTGCACTTGGGGTGGCCATGCGACAGGCCTCTGTGTATGATACGTTGTTTACGGTTTTTATCCGTTGCACCTCTTTTTCTCTCTGCCACGCAGGGCATTTCTGGAAGTAAAAAGGATGGGCATCTTTACAGTTCACACAGCATGGGATACTTTTACATTCGGTACTGTCGTGGTCTTCAATCCCACACTGTGCACATACGCTTTTGCCTCGGCAGGATGTTTGTGAATGTCCAAATCGCTGGCATTTGAAGCAACGCAGCGGATTTGGAATGTAACGACGAACGGGGCAGCGCAGATATCCTGCAGTAATGAAGGATGGCAATGTTGGCTTGTGAAATGTGACAATTATATGCTTTGTTGGTATTAACTTGCCGTCTCGACGAATGGAGATGCGTCGGACAGCAGTGACACCTTGATCTGAAAGATCGATCTGAATATCTGATTCATCTTCAGACATTAGATCGATCTCAGATATCACACTACGTGATGAGTTTAGACTTTTGTGTGATGTGATTGAAACTCCCATATCTCCAAGTGTTTTCATTGACAAAAGCTTTGTTGTTTGTTGAGGAGAGGCTGTTTCCACCAGGAGGTCACCTGACCTCAATTTCTGTATTTTCTTTAAGTGCCCAATAGTTGATTCAAACAATTTTTGGATCAAAAATGGGGAACACTTAGATAACAGTTTTTCTCCAGTTGCATGGACTACTAAGTACACTGGCTGACTAGAGGTCTTTTCATTTGTCATGGTTAGCTTGTTTGGAATTTTTGTATTTTGAAAATCCATATTTAAAAATAAATATTCAGCTCCCAGTGACCCTACCCACAATGGGGCCCAACAAGGGGATGCCGTCACATGGGAGCCTCCCACAGACCGTCACACCAGGGTTTCCCAGGAGCTATACTCTCACAATGCAGTCAAGAAGAGCACATCTTGTCTGACATGTCCGCCCGGTCTGCATCGATCGGTTGACTCCAAGCCGAGGTCAAGAATGACTCAACAACCAGCTGATTGACTCAAACAGAGCCTGATTTGATCCTCCCGTTTATCTGAAGCAGGGGCCAAAGCAGTGTGTTGGGGACGTTATGTTGCCCCTCAACTACCAGGATCCCCTTTCCAGCATACGGGACACCACACACGGCAAACACGTGGGTGGGCGTTCAGATCCCAGCGATGGCGAAGAAGAGTTTCTAAACCATCTCTGGGAGGTCCCCTCACCACGGACAAAAACCCACATCGAGGGGGGGCTGTTCCTAATAGTATCGGTGATAAGAGGGCAAAAATGAGCCCTTAGTAAGTCCGGAGCTGGGGAATAGTTGCTGTAGCCGTCGCTAATATGGTTCCTAAGGAGGACTTGTCTTCGGAAAAGATATGAGGAGTGTAGTCGATTGGGCTTGTCCGATGGAAGTTGGCCACATGAGCTGATGGAAGTTAGTAGCCCTGCCGACGGAAGCGTAGGCACCCGTTGACCTGCAGTGTGATGGCACTCGATAGGAGCGCTGCTGAAACATGGTAGAGATCAAGTTGAAGCAAACAATTTCTGCTCAGAAAATCATGTGCACGGTGTTTTGGGACAGATACAGAGTGTTGCTTGTTGATTTTTTGCCTCATGGTGAAACGATCGATTCAGCTGCATACTGTAAGACTTTAAAAAAACTGCGCCGTGCAATACAAAACAAAATGCAGGGCTTACTGAGCAAGGGTGTCGTTTTGCTCCACGATAATGCTCGTCCACATACGGCAAATCAAACTCAAGACCTAATCACATCATTTGGCTGGGAACAATTAGACCACCCTCCATACAGTCCCGACCTAGCGCCGAGTGACTATCATTTGTTTCTGCATTTGAAGAAGCATCTGGAAGGGCAGCGCCATAACAATCACGACGAAGTCAAAACAACCGTTCTGCAGTGGTTGTCTCATCAGGCGGCAACATTCTTTGAGGATGGAATACAAAAGCTGGTCCCACGATACAATAAGTGTCTCAATATTAATGGGAATTATGTAGAAAAGTAGTGTAAAATATGGGCTTTCACATAAATAAAAATTTTGTTTAAAATGTTTGCTTGTTTTTTTATATTTCAAAACGATACTTACAACTGGTAAAAAAGGAAATTGATATAAAAATTGGGTGGTGGAAGTTTCTCCGTGCATTAGACAAATGCTTATACGAATGGGCAAACTGAATATTGAATGGTCACGCAGTAGAATTGAAGATTTTTATCCGATCTTACAATGTGATAGATGATGTAGATATAATCATTTAGCAAAGGATTGTACACAGGATGAACATACATGCAGTCACTGTACTGAGAACCATCCTTTCAATCATTGCCCTAATCGTAAGAAAGAACCAATTTGTTGTAATTGCTTTTCAGACATGTCAGTAAATCATAAACATAATGCACGTGATGGCTCTTGCCCAATGAATCAAAGAATTAAAAATGTTATTATTTCTAGAACAGACTATGAATCTGCATGATTATACAAGACTACATATTTTGCAAATAAACTTAGGGCGGAGCATATCTGCTACCTCCCTTTTCTGTAAAAATATGATGGATTTTGATCTTATCTTAATACAAGAGCCCTATTGTAGAAAAAATCATCCTGCTTGTTTTCCAACTTGCTGACCTATTCTAATGAATACTAATTATTATCCATGGGCAATTACTCTGGTTCCAAATGTTGATATATCAATAATGCATCATGTCAAACATAGCAACCAGTACATTATTACAGCAGAGATAATGATTAAGAATATAAGAATTATTATGATTAATGTATATTTTCCAGGTGATGCTAACACCAATTCCTTCATTGAACAATTACAACAAATCTTTGATGATTTCCAGAATACCTACTTGATAATTGCTGGTGACTGGAATGCTCATTCTCCTGCGTGGGAAGGTAACAAATTGGATGGACGGGGTAGTCAGATAGACGAATTTGTAGTCCGAAATAATTTGATTATTGAGAATAATCCTCTTTCTCCCCAACTTTCACTTAACATTGAGGTGAAAGTTAGATATATGTCACTTTGTGCAGTTGCAATTTTTATTCTAACATTCATAATTGGAGAGTAATTGAAGAGGATAGTCTGACTGAACACCCAATGATTGCCTTTAATTTAATTGCATCACTTGAAGATGCAACTACAATATACACCCCACGCTCCAAGTTCGACATTAACAAAGCCGACTGGATAAAAATGAAAGATTACTTTGATAATCATCTTATTAATTCTTATTTGAATAATCTTTGTGAGGTTAAAGACCAAATTGATTATAACATCAATATGATATCTGAGGCATGTGCTCTATTTATTCCAAAATCTAGACGTAAGCGGAAAAGTGTCCCTTGGTGGACACCACAACCTTAATAATCTTAGACAAACTACAAGAAAACTTAGGAAAACTTAACAACGCTGTAGAGATGACGTGATACAAAATACACATAAAGAGGCATATCTGCGTGCTCAGAAAACATACAAACAGGCGATTAAAACAGCAAAAATAAAGAGCTGGCAACAGTTTTGCACAGAAACATCAAAAAAACCCTTGGAGATTTATTTCCAAAATGTGTAGCAATAAACTATGCAAAACAACAATTATGACTGCATCTTGTGGCGAGGGAGATGAAACAACTACATTAACTCAAACTTTAGCATTGAAACTTGATGCATTTTGCCCAGATGACGATCCAGCGAATGACATTTGTTGGCAAAAACAGATAAGGGCACAATTTAACACTACTGAGGACATAGCCGACATGCCTCCCTTTACTGGCATAGAAATTAGACTGCCTTTTTAAATCTTAAGAAAGGTAAAGCCCCGGGTCCGGATGATATTACCGCAGAAATTGCTAAAAATCTATGGGCCATTATACCGCAACAACTCTGTAAACTATACAACAATTGTCTTATGCATGCTATTTTTCCACGAAAATGAAAAATTGCTAAAGTTATACCTATACCTAAACCAGGGTCTCTAAATGAAGTTAGACCAATATCCTTGTTGCCTATACTTGAGAAGGTTTTGGAGCGACTGATAACCAATAGGCTTACTTGGTTCATAGAATATAATAGGTGTCTGAGTGCAGATCAATTTGGTTTTCGACTTCAAAGATCTGCCGAGGAAGCCATTGAGAGTATGGTTAATTCTGTCCAACAACTTTTACAGGAAAACAAGTATGTTTTGGGAATATGTTTAGATATTTCCAAAGCCTTTGATAGCACATGTGGCCGTTTATAATGCATCAACTGTGCAATTTCTGTTGTCCCCATAACGTCATATTACTTTTGCAAGATTACTTACGTGAACGAACAGTGATTTTACAATGTGGTCAGCATGAGGTCACTAAAAATATTACTAGAAGTTGTCCTCAGGGGTCCGTTTGCGGACCTTTACTATGAAACATCTCTTTTGATGCTTTTCTTCAAGGAAATTTCGAGCAGACATAGTTATTTGTTTACACAGATGATGTGATAATGCTACTGGAAGGGAAATCAAGAGCTGATTTAGAACTCAAAGGCAATAAGAGGCTTGCGAATATTTATAATCAATTTTTTCGTTTGGATAACTACTGTACTGTATTTCAAGCTAAATTAATTGCAATTAAAATGTGTATTCATTGGGTCCATGCAGATTACATAAATACAACTACTCATAACCTGTATGCCCCGCATGGGCAGCTAATGAAGGAGGCTCTCAAAGAAGCTATCCAGGGAGACCATCGGCCACGACTGATAGGAGGAGATTGGAATGCCCATCATCCTCACTGGGTCGAGGGGTGCGGGAGGCCAGACAGGATCCTATTCGAATCTATTTTTAGATTAGTATAGGGTATTGCTTCATTCATTATTTTAAAATTTTAATATTATTTTATAACGGTTTTTAACGGCTTTATTTTCGAATTTTAAGGGTTTTTAGGTCTTATTTTCGGTTTTTAACGTTCATTTCTGTAATATTAATTTAGTTTTATGGTTTATTAGTTTTTATACCCTAATTTTGTTTTTGCTTATTTTTCATGCATTTTATTTACTAATAGGGTTATTGTTGCTTTAATATTATTTTAATATTTAAGTATTATCACTTTCATTTTTTATATTATATCTTGTATTTCACCAATCTCCTAAGGCTACTGCTTGCTTCATTGTCTTCCATTGGACATTCAATTAGCCTTTTAGTTTGTTGATTAAATTATTAGGTGTTTTGGTTAGGGATTTCTCCATTTCTTTCCATAATGAATGACACCTCTCAACAAATAGATTCAGATAGCTCTTTTTCAATGAATTCCACTGTTATCATTGAACCATTAGAAGAACGGTCGCCATTACCAACTCCTATCCAATCCCCTGTGGTGCAGCCGGACAAATCAGCACCTATTGAAGAAAACATTATGCGAAGCCAGGGTGCTCCTTGGCCGTGTCATGGATGTTTGCCCCGAACATTCTAAAATGGGTATTAAAATAAAACAAAGACTTAAAATACGGAATTACACAACGCGCCTCTTTGGATGTCTACACGAGGCCATGAGTGTAATCAAAATGTTACGTGAAGGGAAAGTAACGCAACAAACAACAACAATAGAGGTACCAGCTAAAACCTACGCTCAAGCTGTTAAAATAAATAACAAACCAAGTGATACAACTAAAAACATTACCAAATCACTATCTTCTAACTAGTTAATGAAGGGACAGGAGGCAATCACGCTGTTTTAGTGTACTCTACAGAGGAAGTGACAGAAGAACAGCCAGATATAGACACGATAGTATCCACAATAACGAAAGAGATAACACCAGCTGAAATCAGTGTCAATGTAAAAAA